AAAGAAAAATACCAACGCACTTGGGTACTGGGATAAAAGGTGTGCACCACCACCACCTGGCCACAAAATCTTTTCTTAAAGGGGATGGTCACACCATCTCATCTGTAGTTGGGAGAATCATTAATGTAAAACGTAGCCAAAAGTGCAGAAATAAACTAAAACCATATCTCATAGTTGAAGGTTTTCTGCTTTAAGAAACAGACTCTAGATTAACATCTCTGCTACAGAGGATGCAATGGCACACACCTGGGCGCCCAGCCCTCAGAAGACGGAGACAGGAGGATTCTGAATTCAAGACCAGTCAGGAGGCTCAGCAGTTAAGAGCACTGGCTGCTCTTCCAGGGGACCTGGGTTCAATTCCCAGCACCTACATGGCAGTTCACAACTGTCTGTAACTCCAGTTCCTAGGGATCCGACACCCTCATACAGACAGACACACAGGCAAAACCCCAATGCACATAAAATAAAGAAATAATTTTTTTAATTTTTTAAAAAAGACCAGTTAGTCTAAGGATCACAGCAAGATCTTGTCTCAGAAAACTAGATGAGGGGGCTGGAGAGATGGCTTAGTGGTTAAGAGCATTGCCTGCTCTTCAAAAGGTCTTGAGTTCAATTCCCGGCAACCAAATGGTGGCTCACAACCATCTGTAATGAGGTCTGGTGCCCTCTTCTGGCCTGCAGACATACACGCAGAGAATATTGTATGCATAATAAATAATATATATATGTATATATATATATAGAAAACTAGACGAGGCTTAGAGACTACACACTTGTCCAGTATGTGCTATTTCCTACTTTCATGCCTCCATACTTCCAAAGAAATTTAAAAAACAAACAAACAAAACAAAACAATGAAAGGAGGGAGGACTTGTGAGGAAGAAGGGATCCAGAGGGAGTGGGAGTGGGTAGGAGGAGTAATGTGGTGGAGGGGTGGTGATCAGAACACATTAAACAACTGGACAGGATCTGGAATCACCTGGAGAGGACATGCTTCCAGGAACATCTGTGACTCAGTTATTCAGATTCGGTTAGTTTCTGATCATGCCTGTGAGAGATTATTGGAATTAAGTAAATCGAAATAGAAAGATCCACCTAAAAAGTAAGAAGCATTATTCCTGAGCTTAAAAAGGAGAAAGACAGCAAGCAGCATAAGCATTTTCCATGTCCTCCTGATGTCAGTGCAGTGTGAACGGCTGCTTCGGTTCCTGCTGTCTTGACTCCTGCCATGATAGACTGTGACCTTGAACTGTGAGCTGGAAATAAGGTCTTCTGTGGCCCCCATAGGCTCATATTTCTGGATGCTTTGTCACCAGGGAGTGGGACTGTTTGAAAGGATTAGAAGGACTAGGAGGTATGGCCTTGCTGGAGGAAGTGTGTCACTGGGCGTGTGTTTAGAGGTTTCAAAAGCCCACGCCAGGCCCAGTCTCTCTCTCTCTCTCTCTCTGCCGGTGGCTGGGGATGTACCGCTCCAGCACAACGACTACCTCATGCTTCCTGCCATGATGAGAACGGACTGACCCTCTGAAACTGTCAGTGAGCCCCAAGGTTCCTTTAGAAGAACTGCCTATGGCCACGGTGTCTCTTCACAATAGAACAGTAACTAAGACAACTTCCTTCAATAAATTATTCCTGTACAGGCATTTGATCACAGCAACAGGAAAGAAACTAAGGCACTCATGGATGGCATTGTCAACAAACCAAAAGAAAAACAAAACCTACCTCTGGTAAGTAGCAGGAACAACTGACGCATCTCAAAAACACCACGCGCCTTTCCCCCAGTAAGAAAACAAAGTCAGTCATGACTCTGCTCGGTCCCTCTGACTTTACTGACTCTTTAGAAGATGCTCTCCCCCCCCTCCAAAAATCACAAATCCAGAAATTCTCAGTCTAAGAAAGCAGGAAGAGTCAGGCAGATAGTTCAGTGAGCAAAATGTGCTCACTACTAATCCTGACAATGACCTCAGTTTGACCCCTTTCTCCAGGAACCACATGATGCCAGGAGAGAAGACTCCCTAGGATTGTCCTCTGACCTCTGCACACCCCACGGCACACTGCAGCACACATGTGCATGCGCACACATTCGCTCACCCTCAACCCCAAGCTTCAGAGTCACACAGCTATCTCAACCTTAACGCTGCGGCCCTTTAATGTCATTCCTCATGTTGTTATGGTGACACCGACCATAAAATTCTTTTCATTCTACTTCCTAACAGTAATTTTATTGTTGTGAATTGTAATGTAAATATCCATGTTTTCCAATGGACTTAGGTGACCTCTGTTGAAAGAGTTGTCAGACCCCCAGAGGAGTCATGACCCACAGGTTGAGAACCACTGATCTATATGGCCTATTCCCAACTTTTTTTTTAAGATTTTTTTTATTTATTATGTTTCCAGTGTTCTGCCTGCATGTATACCTGCATGACAGAAGAGGGCATCAGATGGTTGAAAGGGAACTGAACTGAGGTCCTCTGGAAGGGCAGCCAGTGCTCTTAACCCCTGAGCCATCTCTCCAGGCCCACATATTCCCATCTTAAATGTAAAACAGCAAAATGAGATCATTTTATTGTAGTTGTTTTTTTTCAAGGAGTTTCTCTGTGTAACAGGGTTTCTCTGGCTGTCCCGGAACTTGCTCTGTAGACCACACTGGCCTCAAACCCACAGAGATCCACCTGCCTCTGCCTCCCAGTGCTGGGATCAAAAGTGTGTGCCAGCCGGGCGGTGGTGGCGCACGCCTTTAATCCCAGCACTCGGGAGGCAGAGGCAGGCGGATCTCTGTGAGTTCGAGGCCAGCCTGGACTCCAAGAGCTAGTTCCAGGACAGGAACCAAAAGCTAAGGAGAAACCCTGTCTCGAAAATCAAAAAAAAAAAAAAAAAAAAGGTGTGTGCCAACATTGGCTGGCATAAATCTTTTTTTTTTAAATCATCTATTCAAGCCTGTTTCTACCACAGCCTTCCCATCTCAAAGATATGGGCACCACCATTGAGGTACCTCTAGAAGTCATCTGTGTGCATGTGTAAGTGGGTACGGGTATATTTGTGTGTGTTCTTGTGTGTGCACATGCACATGTGCATGAGTGTGTATGTATGTGTGTACCTGTAGACATACAAGCCAAAATCCAAGTCAAACTCATGTGTTGCTTTTCAGATGTCTACTTTGGTTTTGAGAGAGCCTCTCTCCCTGGGATCTGGGACTTACAGACTAGGCTAGGATGACTGGCCAGCAAGCCCCAGACTTTCCTGTCTCCATCTCCCCAGAGCTAGGATTCCAAGTGCACATTCCTATGCTGGATTTTTATGGGCTCTAACAGGAGTCCTCATGCCAGCGTTACAAGCACTTTATGAACTGAATGAGCCCTCTCCCTAGTCTGCTAGGAGTCTTCTTTGAATATTCTTTCTCTCAGACAGCGTCCAATCCGTTAGAAAGGTCTAAACCCTCCATTCAAAGCACAGCCTGAATCTAACAACAGTTCTCCATGTCTGTTCTCCACCCTCCACTAGTTTTCTCTGGACCACAGTCACAGCCTCCATTACTCTCTGCTTCCCTGGCACAGCTGCCCACCCAGACAGACCCCATTCTGCCTAAAACTGCCAAGCAGAGCATGCCATTGTCCCATTTAAAACCTGAGTCTCCCTGTGCTCAGACGAGAGCTTAGCGGCTCTTTACCTTGGTCCAGTTTCACCATTTACCTCCCTACCAGGGACTCCCCAGCACCACTCTCCCTCGGTCACAACCTTCAAGCCACGCGCGACTCTTCTCTCGCTGAACTTGAAGGTTTTGGGGCCTTAAACTTCTGAAATGTTTTGCCCCTACTGGTGACCACAGCAAGGATCCTTCTTGTCATTCAAACTTCAAATGTCACCTCCTCAGAAAACGTCATCACAACCTTCCAATCCAACAAGTCATCCAACACTCCTCACACACCCTCCCGTTAATTTTCTGCACAGCAGTCGCCGCTGCCTGCTCGCTCAGTTTTCTTCCCTCCTGTGGGTATCAAACCAGCAGGCAGGACCAGTGAGCACCGCCCTTCCATAAATCTCATCCATCAGTCCCAGCGAGTCCCAAGCGGCGAAGGAGGCTCGGGGACTTTCTTCACATATTCTGACCCAGGTCTAAACCGTGTTTCCAACTTGGTGAAGATAACAATTCTGAATCACAGTCCCCCACAGTACATACACCTAGTGCCACTCAAACCACCCGCCGGAAGACCTTTTGGCTAGTTCATTCATTCGCTAAACAAACATTTACCGAGCTCCTACTCTATGCCAGTGGGGCAAAGGATCAAAGACAAGTTCTGACTCCCAGGAACCACAGGAAGCAAAGCGAGGAACGCTGACACACAGGTACCTTCCCAGAGCGGGAAAGAGTAAGACTGTACGCGTGCCCCTTGTGGCTTCGAGGTCAGATCCACACAGCCCAACGGACCCAGAGAAACTGGTGGAGCAGCACCCCGCGGCTCAGGCGGCAAAGCTCCCACTCTACTAGCCCAGGCAAAGCAGACGGAGCGCGTTCGTCTGCGACCGGCGCCCGCCGAAGACTCGCGGGTAGAGTTCCAGGATTACCATTGGCTGACCGGGAGCCCCACCCCCATCCCATCACTGGGGAACAGGGATGCAGCCGCCGGGGTCGCGCTCCAACTCTCCTAGGCGATCCCAGCCAGCGAGGCCAGACACCACCTTCCACTAGCGTCGCGGGCCCTCTTCCCTCTCCCCCACGCCCAAGCCCTCAGGCCACACTCCCGACCCACACGAGCCCCACTCCCTGACACCCGCCACTGTGCCTAACGCATGCCCTGGGGGTAGGCGTGTCCCGGGAGCCGCGGAGTTTGCTGGCTCGACCGTGGGCGGGCGGGACCAGGCCAGGCCCCCTGCGGCGCTGCGAGCCCCGGTGCGCGGCCGTTCCCGAGCCCGCCACCCTCCGCCACACAAACCCCGAGGGCCGAGCCCGCCAAGGCTGCGCAGGAGCGAGTCAGGTGCGGCCGCGGTGCGGGCTCACTCACTCGATGAAGAAGCTGGCGCCCTCCTCCGTGAAGCCCTCCTCCCAGCCGCGCGGCAAGTCTGCGGGAAGGCGAGAAAAGTCGGTCAAACTCCCGCGGCCGTGGCGCCCCCCGCACCCGCCACCGCCCCCCGCCGGCCCCGCGCCCACCTGAGCGGATCATGTGACCCGAGTTGACCGGCTCGCCGGTCCGCGGGTGCAGCCAGGTCGTGCAGCCGAGCTGGTCACTGCGGGAGAGGTGCACCTGTTAGCGCCACCGCCCCTCACGGCCGCCCAGGGCCCCAGCCCCCGGCGCCCGACCCCACCCGAGTGCCGCCGCCCCTCGCGCACTTGATAAAGAAGACGCGGCCGTCCCGACAGACGCCGTACGACCAGTGCTCAGGTAGGGTGTCCCGCCCGACCGCCGCCGCCATGTTCGCCCAGCGCCAGAGCCCCGGACCGGGGGAGGGGGGAGGGGTGAAGGGGCGGGGCAAGGGGCGGGGCACGGGGGGGGGACAGGGGTGCACGAAGTTGGGACTGAGTGAATGGGAGGGATAAGAAACAGGGAGCTGGAGTAGCAAGAAGTGGGGGGCAAGAAGTTAGGTGGGGATAGGGAGGGGAGGGACAAAATGTGGGGAGGGGTAGGGAGAAGAGTCCAAGAAGTTGGAAGGAGTGAGGGAGCGAGGCTAAAGTGGGAAGGGGCTGGGAAACGAGCGACTTGGATGGACCTCACTGTGTTCTCCTGTGCTGGATGTTGCGTGGGCTCCAACTTTGGTGACTCTGTCTGGTGCCTGAGCCCGAGCTGTCGCGGCTAGTGACTCCAAAGTTCCCTGTTGCAGGAGCCAGCCGGATCTCAGGGCCCCTCAGCCTTTGTCCCCTGAGATCCGCGGGCGAAGAAACAGACTGGCCCCAACACACACACACACACACACACACACACACACACACACACACTTGCTTCAGGAAAACCAGCCGACCTGCACACCGCAGCTCCTTTTCCCCGGAAGTGTGCTTCTTTCTTAGCCTAGGAGCACCGAACAGGTTTCTTCTGGATTCCGGAGCAGCCTCCAGGGCTTCTGTAAAATAAGTGAAAGGCTGGCCTGTGATTCCGGCTCTGGGAAGACTGAAGCAGGAGGATTGCTGCGAGTCGAGAGACAGCCAGAGCTGTTTAAGAATTTCGGGACAGCAGGGGTTACTATGAGACACTGTCTTAAAAAAAATAAAAAGTTAAGAATGAGGTCTAGGAGGGGTTGTGAGCAGAGTTGGTGGAGTAACTTCGCTGAACCCTGGCACACAGTGGGTGCTCTAGTAACCGCCAGGGCAAGCTGGCATTCATCTTCCCCAGCTCACAGCAGGGCCGTGGGCCTGGACCACACTGGTCCTCTTCATGCCCCCACACATCTGAAGCTGCCGAGATCACAGGCTGCATCTGCCTTCACTTCTCACGAGTGACAAAAAAAAGAGGCGCTGCCTGGATTTCCCTACTCAGTCCCCAGCCTGTAACACTTGCCTCTTTAAGTATTCAACTCTTGGGGGGGGTCTCTCCTGAACCCCCAGAGCAAAAGAGACCCTTCTGCTTCTTTAACTCACTTGTTTGCACCTAATTGACATTTGTGTGCTTACTCTCTTGTTCTCCCCAAAACTAAGTGTGTCAGTTGGACAAGAGAAGGGGCCTTGGTCTGTCCTGAACTACAGGGACAATCCTGGGTGCCTGAACAATCCTGGATCGTGCTTACAGTAATTCCTCGATGGGAGAATGGAAAACCCTCAGACACCCTGTCCTGTCACACTGCAAGTGGGTGGAGCAGGAAGTTAGGCTCTGGGCAAGGGTCAGGCCAGCCTTGCAGGGACATAGCTGCAGGTCTGCAAAGGCTCACCTGAGTGGGGCTGCACGGTGGGCCCTGGGAGGAGAGAGGCGAGAGTAGGCTGGACCCTGAAGGAGGCACAGCTGGAGCGCTCCAGGCGAACCTAAGGGAGCACAGGCTGACCTGTGGAAGGGGTGTGGAGTGCTGGGAAGACAAAGGGAGCCTTCCTCGGAAGAAGTTAATAAGGAGAGAGCTGCTGTGCTTGGGGGTGCAGAGCCTTCTGTCTCTGACACAGTTCTTGACCAAATGGACACAGAATAATAGCATCTTTATTATTAAACACAAAAAAAAACCCAATCTATTAGATGGGCAAGGATATGAACACACAGTTAATAGAAACTGAACACAAGTGGCTTTTAAGTAAATGGGAAGATAATTGGCCCTTACATAATATCAAGTATACAAATGAAAATTATAGTGAAATTCTATTTTATAGATGTTGGATTGGCTTTTTAAAAAAAAAACATTCAGGCCAGGTGGTCATGGTGCACACCTTTAATCCCAGCACTTGGGAGGCTGGAGCAGGTGGATCTCTCTGAGTTCGAGGCCAGCCTGGTCTACAAAGCAAGTGCCAGGACAGGCTCCAAAGCTACAGAGAAACCCTGTCTCGAAAATCCTAAATAAATAAATAAATAAATAAATAAATAAATAAATAAATAAACATTCTTGTTCATTGTTGCTGGAACTATAAAAATGATTCTGCCTTCTTAAAGGCAATTTGGCAGCAACTATTACAAGGACCCATTGCTTTGACCAGGCAACTCCACCACCAGGAGATTATCCCACATGCTATCCCTGCAATGTGGCTCAACAGTTAAGTGTGCATACTACTGCTGTTGTAGAGGACCTGGGTTCGGTTCCCAGCACCTACGTGGGAGGTCACAAACTTTTGTACTCCTGTTCTGGGGGTTCCTATACCTTCTTCTGAACTTTGAGCACACGGAACACATGTGGTGCACATGCATGCGGGCAGGCAAAATGTATATGCATAAAATAAAAAAAATTAAAAATATTTTGATCACATACTACCATATGTCCCTGAAAGTATATTCGTGTGTTTTTTTTTCCCTCATAAAAATGTGTGTATGATCATTTACAGCAGCTTCATCTATAAGGGCAAAAACTAGAAATGGCCGAAGGGCGGGTGGTTAAATAACCAGAACATCTCCTGTGCCACAGAATTTGACTTCCAAACAAAAACTTGGCACACAGCCATGTGGGTGTGTTAAGACATTAATACCAGCTGGGTGGTGGTACACACCTACAATACCAGCGTCAGGAGGCAGAGGCAGGTGGATCTCTGAGTTTGAGATCAGTCTGGTCTACACGGCTAGTTTCAGGACAGCCAGATGCTGTGGAATAGTCGTTTTGTACACTGTGAAGACTTGTTGCTCTCATTGTTAATAAAACGATGATTGGCAGATGGTTAGGCATGATTTTCTGGACAGAGAGAATGCTGGGGGGGGCGGAGTCTCAAGAGAGCCCATGAGACACAGAGTGAGTAGGATTGGAAGTACATACGTGAGGTAAACAAGACTCAGGGCAGCACCCAGATCAATAGAAATGGGTTAATTTAAGTAATAAGAGCAAGCTAAAAATGAGCCTAAGCTATTGGCCGAGCATTTATAATTAATATTAAGTCTCTGTGTGGTTATTTGGGAACTGGCTGGTGGGACAGAAAAGTCTGCCTACAACTACGGCTACACAGAGAAACCCTGTATCAAAAAAACAAAACAAAAAGACCAACCAAGATGTTAATACCAAGTTTTCAAAGAGCAAAGTCAGCCTTAAAAAGTTCACATTTGACTCTATAACATTCTCAAAATCCAATATCCAATATTGATTTTAAAAAGTCATTAGGGATCCAAAACAATCATTAGGGCTGGACATGGCAGCACACACCTTTAATCCCAGCACTAGGGAGCCAGAGGCTGGTGGGTTTCTGAGTTTGAGGTCAACTTGGTCTACAGAGTGAGTTCCAGGACAGCCAGAGCTGTTACACAGAGAAACCTTGTCTCCAAAAACTAATAAACAAAAAGAGATGTATTTTTATGTGTATGGCTGTTGTGCATCTATGTCTGTGTGCCATATACATGCGGTGGCCTTAGAAGCTGGTAGCCAGCATCAGACTCCCTGGAACTGGAGGTATAGACCACTGTCAGCTGCTTTATGGGTGCTAGGAATTGAACCCAAGAAGAACAGTCAATGCTCTTAACTACTGAGCCATCTCTCCAGTTCCCTAAATGTAATTTAAATTATTTTATTTTTTAAAAGTATAACAATGAAATGTTGGGGAGGTAACTCAGTGATCACTTGATAGCACTTGCCTGGCTGAGGCAGGAGACTCTAATTCAAGCTAGCTTGGGCTACATATTAACACTGTGTCTCGGGGCTGGAGAGATGGCTCAGTGGTTGAGAGCACCGTCTGCTCTTCCAAAGGTCCTGAGTTCAATTCCCAGCAACCACATGGTGGCTCACAACCATCTGTAATGAGGTCTGGTGCCCTCTTCTGGCCTGCAGGCATACATGTAGACAGAATATTGTATACATAATAAATAAATAAATAAATAAATAAATAAAAAAGACTGTGTCTCAAAAACAAAACAAAAGCAATAATAAAATATAGTTGTGTAAGTCACAGCTGTGATGATGAAAATCACAGGACTTTGCAGGGAAATGATGCATGACAACTTCAACTTCATTTCACATTTAAATGTATAAATATAAAAACAGCAGTAAAATCTATACGTATATCCTGTAAAATTTAGAATTTCTTCTTTTATTTTTGTTGTTTGTTTTGTTTTTGTTGTTGCTGTTGTTGTTGCTTTTCCAAAGCAGGGTTACTCTGTGTAGTCCTGCCTGTCCTAGAACTAGCTATATAGACCAGGCTGACCTTGAACTCAGAGATCCACCTGCCTCTGCCACCTGAGTGCTGAGACTAAAGGTGTGCACCACCACCACCTGGCCCTTCTTTTTAAAATATGTAGTTGTGAGTGCCCACAGAGGCCATGGATGCTAAGATTCTAACGCAGGTCCTTTGGAAATATAGAGTGCTCCTAACCCCTGGACTTTTGCTCCAGAGTTAGAAACTCCTGTAAGCACTAATAACATAACCCAGAAAATTGTTGGCGAAAACATTTATGCTATAGATTCTAACTCTACATACCCTAGACAGTAGCTGTTAACACGAGTTACAGCTGATCTGCACTCTGAGGTGAAATGCCCTCGCCGTGAAATGTACACCAGGTCCAGCATGGTGTTCCACATCAGTAACCCAAGCATTTGGAAAGTGGAACCAGGAGGATGGAGAGTTCAAAACCAGACTACATAAGGAGCTTGAAGCCACTCTGGGCTATATAGACCCTGTCTCATACTACACCCCCACCCCTCAAAAAGGTGTAGGAACTGGGTAGATAGCTCATCAGTAGATCATTCTTCTAGCATGTGTGGGTCCCTGATGCATCCCCAGTACAATGAGAAAACAGCTTTTGTGGATCATTTCTTTGTGTGGGTACAGACCTTGCTGCCCCCTAGAATTACCTGAGAGTGCCAGGCAGTGGTGGTGCACGCCTTTAGTCCCAGTACTC